AATTCCTAAGAGATCTAAACCTTTTTAAGAAATTCAGCATTTAAGGAAATAAGTGTTAGCCTTGAAATAATGGCTCTCATATATTTGTGAGCTAGAGTTACTAAAAGATTAGTTACATTGCTTTGGAATTTCTTTTCATTTGTTTTTATGTGACTTCAGTGTGATTTTGGAAACTTTTAACAAGGAGTATTTGTTTAAAGAGTTTTTTTCCCCAGGTAGTTTAATATTTGGGTAGACATATTTGAATACCAAACAAATTATCACTGAATAATTATAGACTTGGAATTTGAACATGAATAGACTTTAGATTATTTAGCTGGCTTCTCCATGTATCAAATGAATAAACAGAGGCTATTTCACCTTTATGGCCCAAGATCACTGGTACCAAACTAAGGGAGAATTTTTTCATTTCTCTTTCAGTGCCTTTTTTTTTTCTTGCCGTAATAAAATTTATTAAAGTTATAAATTATGGCCTATATACTGTTGTGTTTCTTTGTGTGTGGGTGGGGGGTCAGAGGTGGGTTTGTTTTTTGTTTGTTTGTTTTTGAGATGTAGTCTCGCTCTGTCACCAGGCTGGAGTGCAGTGGTGTGATCTCGACTCACTGCAACCTCCACCTCACAAGTTCAAGCAGTTCTCCTGCCTCAACCTCCCGAGTAGCCGGGACTACAGGCATGCACCACGATGCCCAGCTAATTTTTGTATTTTTAGTAGAGACAGCGTTTCACCATGTTGGCCAGGATGGTCTCGATCTCTTGACCTCGTGACCTGCCCGCCTCAGCCTATCAAAACTGCTGGGATTACAGGCATGAGCCCCTGAGCCCGGCCCTATATAATGTTTTTTAATTAATTTTTTTGTGTGCCATTATACTTTCATGTGCTCAACGTGCAGGTTTGTTACATAGGTATACATGTGCCGTGGTGGTTTGCTGTACCCATCAACTCATCATTTGCATTAGGTATTTCTCCTAATGTTATCCCTCCCCCAGCCCCTGACAGGCCCGCGTGTGTGATGTTCCCCTCCGTGTGTCCATGTGTTCTCATTGTTCAACTCCCATGTATGATGAGAACATGCAGTGTTTGGTTTTCTGATCTTGTGATAGTTTGCTGAAAGTAATGGTTTCCAGTTTCATCCATGTCCCTGCAAAGGACATGCACTCATCCTTTTTTATGGCTGCATAGTATTCCATGGTGTATATGTGCCACATTTTCTTAATCCAGTCTGTCATTGATGGACATTTGGGTTGGTTCCAAGTCTTTGCTATTGCAAATAGTGCCGCAGTAACCATATGTGTGCATGTGTCTTTATAGTAGCATGATACTTTATAATCCTTTGGGCATATACCCAAAAATGGGATTGCTGGGTCAAATTGGTATTTCTAGTTCTAGATCCTTGAGGAATTGCCACACTGTCTTCCGCAATGGTTGAACTAATTTACACTCCCACCGACAGTGTAAAAGAGTTCCTATTTCTCCACATCCTCACCAGGATCTGTTGTTTCCTGACTTTTTAATGATTGCCATTCTAACTGGTGTGAGATGGTATCTCTTTGTGGTTTTGATTTGCATTTATCTGATGACCAGTGATGATAACCATTTTTTCTTATGTCTCTTGACTGCATAAATGTCATCTTTTGAGAAGTGTCTGTTCATATCCTTTGCCCACTTTTTGATGGGGTTATTTTTTTCTTGTGAATTTAAGTTCTTTGTAGATCTGGATATTAACCCGTTGTCACATGGGTAGATGGCAAACATTTTCTCCCATTCTGTAGATTGCCTGTTCACTCTGATGATAGTTTCTTTTGCTGTGCAGAAGCTCTTTAGTTTAATTAGATCCCATTTGTCTATTTTGGCTTTTGTTGCCATTGCTTTTGGTGTTTTAGTCATGAAGTCTTTGCCCATGCCTATGTCCTGAATGGTGTTCCCTAGGTTTTCTAATAGGGTTTTTATGGTGTTAGGTCTTACATTTAAGTCTTTAATCCATCTTGAGTTATTTTTTATATACAGTGTAAGGAAGGGATCCAGTTTCAGCTTTCTACTTATGGCTAGCTAGTTTTCCCAGCACCATTTATTAACTAAGGAATCTTTTCCCCATTGCTAGTTTTTGTCAGGTTTGTCAAAGATCAGATGCTTGTAGTGGTGTTATTTCTGAGGTCTCTGTTCTGTTCCATTGGTCTATATATCTGTTTTGATACCAGTACCATGCTGTTTTGGTTACTGTAGCCTTGTAGTATAGTTTGAAGTCAGGTAGTGTGATGCCTCCAGCTTTGTTCTTTTGGCTTAGGATTGTCTTGGCAATGCAGGCCCTTTTTTGGTTCCATATGAATTTTAAAGTAGTTTTTTCCAGTTCTGTGAAGAAAATCAGTGGTAGCTTGATGGGGATAGCATTGAATCTATAAATTACCTTGGGCAGTATGACCATTTTCACAATATTCGTTCTTCCTCTCCATGATCTTGGAATGTTCTTCCATTTGTGTTCTCTTTTATTTCATTGAGCAGTGATTTGTAGTTCTGCCTGAAGAGGTCCTTCACTTCCCTTGTTAGTTGGATTCCTAGGTATTTTATTCACTTTGTAGTAATAGTGAATGGGAGTTCACTCATGATTTGGCTCTCTGCCTATTATTTGTGTATAGGAATGCTTGTGATTTTTGCACATTGATTTTGTATCCTGAGACTTTGCTGAAGTTGCTTATCAGCTTAAGGAGATTTTGGGCTGAGACAATGGGATTTTCTAAATATACATCATGACATCTGCAAAAAGAGACAATTTGACTTCCTCTTTTCCTAATTGAATATCCTTTCTTTCTTTCTCTTGCCTGATTGCCCTGACCAGAACTTCCAACACTATGTTGAATAGGAGTGGTGAGAGAGGGCATCCGGGAATGCTTCCAGTTTTTGCCCATTCAGTATGATATTGGCTGTGAGTTTGTCACAAATAGTTCTTACTATTTTGAGATACTTTCCATCGGTACCTAGTTTATTGATAGTTTCTAGCATGAAGGGCTGTTGAATTTTGTCGAAGGCGTTTTCTGCATCTATTGAGATAATCAGATAGGCCACTAGCAAGACTAATGAAGAAGAAAAGAGAGAAGATTCAAATAGATACATAAAGGGGATATCACCACCGATCTCACAGAAATACGAACCACCAATAGACACATAAAGGGGATATCACCACCAATCTCACAGAAATACAAACCACCATCACAGAATATATAAACACCTCTACGCAAATAAACTAGAAAATCTAGAAGAAATGGATAAATTCCTGGACACATACACCCTCCCAAGACTAAACCAGGAAGAAGATGAATCTCTGCATAGACCAATAACAGGCTCTGAAATTTAGGCAATAATTAATAGCCTACCAACCAAAAAAAAAGTCCAGGACCAGATGGATTCACAGCCGAATTCTACCAGAGCTACAAAGAGGAGCTGGAGCATTCCTTCTGAAACTATTCCCTACAATAGAAAAAGAGGGAATCCTCCCCAACTCATTTTATAAGGCCAGCATCATCCTGATACCAAAGCCTGGCAGAGATACAACAAAAAAAGAGAATTTTAGGCCAATATCCCTGATGAACATCGATGCGAAAATCCTCAATAAAATACTGGCAAAGTGAATCCAGCAGCATATCAAAAAGCTTATCCACCACGATCAAGTCAGCTTCATACCTGGGATGCAAAGCTGGTTCAGCATACACAAATCAATAAACGTAATCCATCACATAAACAGAACGAATGACCAAAATAACACATGATTAAATTTATTTTTATTTCAATAGTTATTGGGGAACAGGTGGTTTTTGGTTACATAGATAAGTTCTTTATTGATGATTTCTGAGATTTTGGTGCACCGGTCACCTGAGTAATGTACGTTGTATCCAATGTGTAGTCTTTTATCCCTCACATGGAGTAAAATATGAGGGATAAAAGACTACATATTGGGTACAATTTGGGGACTCTTCCCCCTGAGTCCCCAAAGTCCATTCTGTCATTTTTGTGCCTTTGCGTCTCCTCATAGCTCCCACTTATGGGTGAGAACATATGATATTCATTTTCCATCCCTGAATTACTTCACTTAGAATAATGATCTCCAACTCCAGATTGCTGCGAATGCTATTACTTTGTTCCTTTCTATGTCTGAATAGTATTCCATGGTGTATATATACCACATTTTCTTTTCGCACTCATTGGTTGATAGATAGCCTAAATTGACTGGTTTCATATTTTTGCAGTTGCGAATTGTATGCTATAAACATACATGTGCAAGTGCCTTTTTCAAATAATGACTTCTTTTCTTCTGGGTAGATACCCAGTAATGGGATTGCTGGATCAAATGGTAGTGTTACTTTTCGTTCCTTAAGGAATCTCTGGACAGTTTTCCACAGTGGTTTTACATACAGTGTGTTTTAAAATTATTTTCTTCTTATTTTAATATCACAGAAATGAAATGAAGTATCTCTTATGGATACCTTCTTACCATTTTACTCTGTTTATATACCTCTTCTTAGTCCTCTAATTCAGGTTCACTGAGTTCTGACCTTGGTTTCTTGGGGTTTTGTTTTGTTTAACATCGTTTCTTGAGCTTCACAATGAAAAATTTACTCATTCTGTGTTCTAGATAGATAAATAGTAATATTGCCAATATTATGTACTCACCACCACCAAAAGTTTAATCCTATCCAACGTTGTTTAGTAGAATAGGTGGTGGTATAGATACAGACTGTGTAAAAAAGAGCCTTCTTGTATTAAAAAAGCTGTCTGACAGACTTTTGAGGTATCCACTTTGAATCAAGAAGATTCTCATGAATGTTTCATTTGCATTTTTATGATACTTTAGTCAATGTTATTTAAATGACAGATTTTTATAGTGTAATACATTTACGATTTTTATATACTCAAGTATAAGAAAAATTGTCAGTTTTTAATTTCAGACTCTTTTTTATCATTGGTTAATATGCAGGATTTAGAATTTTCAGTATGTTATTGTTATATATAGGTGCCTGGAATACTTACTAAGAAACGATGCAAATCCAGGGATCCGTGATAAGCAAGGATACAATGCAGTTCATTATTCAGCTGCTTATGGTCACCGTCTGTGTCTTCAGCTGGTAAGATTCCTGAATGCTTGTGAAAGACCTAATGTGAGTTTATAGTCTAATAATGTAACAAAAATGAGAATAAATGGATCAAGAAACAAATTCCATTTTGTTTTCTAACATTTTCAGAATTTATATACATCTTAAGTTCATACTTGTTTTAGTAAGATATATCTCATTCTCTTTTCTTTTTAAAAAAGGAGAAAATTAGATCTCTGAAGAGGGCCACCGATTACCCCATGTTCATGTCTACAGTATTCTCCTGCCCCTTTAAATAAATATTTCTCATAAGTTTCTAAAAGACTGTAACTGTGTCTTACATGAGAAATAAAAGTCCCTGTGAAAGGAATATATCCCCCATATATTTAGGGAATTCCAAAAGGTGCATTTATTTCACAACCCCTCCTAATAAGGGAGACTCCACTTCTACAAAGAAAGTTTGTATTTCTACTGTGGTCTGATTCTGGAATATAATACCACCATTCACCCAGATTTACCAAACCAGAAGGAAAGTCAAAGAAAAGATACTCATGTGTGTAACAGATACTTTAGGTTAAAGATTCTCTTATTTAGACTTACCTTATAAATTACGTTAAACTTTGCTTCCCTTCAAGGGGAAATAAAATTCAAGGAGAGTAGATACAAAAGAAAAGGGAGGTTGACAATTTAATATAGCGCTTAGAGCCCTGCTACAAAAATGACTGTCTTCCTACGTTATTATGGATCTTCACACCAAAATTTTAGACCTATGTATATAGATTTGATGTCTATTGTGATATGAAATTGTTTATTCAAAACATCTAATTTTTTGGAGCCAAATGAAGCACAGGTTTAGAGTAAAAGTTAGCAAAGCCCTGTGTAAGTTGAGACTTACTGTAGATGAATACTTCCCAAGCTAAATATTTTTGTTTTGACCTTTATTTCAGATTGCAAGTGAAACTCCTCTAGATGTTGTAAGTATTAGTCAATTACCTCCCACCAATTAGTATTACTCAATTCCCTCCTACCAGTTATGTTTATCTATTTGCTGTCATTAAAGCTGAAAGTGTTTTTACATATTAGGCGCAAAGATGGTGACAGAAATCTTGTGTACAGAGGGAAGGAAGATGTTTACTTCGTGGCAATTTAGTAGCATTTTCCCCAAACTCTTAGTTTGTAGCCTGTCTTCAAAGCTCTTAGTCTGTGCTCCTTATCCTTACTACACTTTCATAATAATCATGTTTTATAAGTTTGCTGAGTTGCCAAGTAATACTCTAAAGTGGATTTGAACTGGGGGAGTGGGAGAGAATAATTGCTGTAGTGTGTCTTTCTGACATTTAAAATGCCTCTGCTTTTTCAGTTAATGGAAACCTCAGGAACAGACATGCTGAGTGATTCAGATAATAGAGCAACAATAAGCCCTTTACACTTGGCTGTGAGTACTGCCTTCATAGCCAACTTGATGGCTGATTTACTGAAAATATCTAATACCTATTTGTGTTGACTCAAACTAGTACCATAAACTTTTGGTCCATGTAATAGTTATCATTGAATTAAAACTTTGAGAACTTTCTTTAATTCAGAGAATTATTTAATGTGCTGGGTTTCTGTTTTTTCTGTTTCTTGCTTTGGGGGAAAAAAAAAAAAGGACAGACAATGATCCTTAGACTTTTTCCAGGGCCTTCTGGGGAGAGAAAGGGAGAAAATACAGAAAATATGCCTGTGATGGTGAATTTTAAAATGTGCTGCCCTAGTGGAATGCCTTATAAGTTGGCTAAGCAGATGGTATACACACACATTCTGTAGTATTTCTACAATGTTTTGCTTACTTTGTGATCTTGGGGTGCTAACTGGTTGTGTGTTCACTGGTCCTTCAGTTGCTCACACTATAGGATTTGACTACATTGTCTGTTATGTCTCTTCCACTTTAAGACTCCTCTAAATTTTTTTCCAGTGTCAATCACTAAATGAAGAAGGTTAGGGAAGAATGTGACAATTTTTTAAGTCAAATGAGAACTTATTACCTTAAATTTCAAGTAGATCCTAATCTAGCTTTCTGTACTGAAAGAATTTATTTTTGAGACAAAGCATGTTAGAGTTGTAGGGAAGGGGGGGGTACTTTGAGAATCAGGAGACCAGGGTACTGTCACCACCTGTTTGTGAGATCCCTGACTTTTAGTAAAATGCTTATAAGGATGTATCCTTAATTCAGTGTGGAACACTACAAGTTCAGTGATTCATTTGAATGTTTCTTTTCATATGTATTATTATTTTTTCTCTTAATACTCTCCTTGCGTGTGTTTTAACACTGACATATATACATTAAATTTTCTGCCGTTTCTCCCCATGATACTTCCTATCATGTTTTCAATAACTAAGAAAGCATTCTTAAAGCTTTCTACTTCTTTGCCCTTTGAGTCCTTGGAAACACCATCACCTCTCCCAGACATGCATAGTAAATAAGTCTGACAAGGCAAAGCCAGCATGGAAGAAATAGCCATTTTACTATTGATGAAAAGAAATGAAGACTGAGCAGCATTAGCAGCAGCAGCATCATTCTCATTATAATAATTTCACTGTCATTTCTTGAGCACTTTCTAGGTGCCAGACTATTTCCCCCTTGCGGAGGTTCAACAAGTAGCATGTTAAAGACTCCCAAAAGCTCTGCAGTCTTTAGGACTTAGTTATCAGTTTAATGATGTTGTTTCCTTAGAAATTTCTCATTTGTATTCTCGCCACCCTTCAATTTGGCAAGTTTCTCTTTTTGTGCTTGCAAATTAACAATGTGCTATACATTGATCAGTGGGTTGGTCTTTCTCTCTCTCTCTCTCTCTCTCCCTCTCACAATTACTATTTTTTTGTCAGAGATTTTGTATGTGTATATGGTAGTAATGGTAGAAAAAGAAAACATAACGTAAGACATACCTTCTTAACCATTTCTAAGTGTACAGTTCAGCAGTGTTAAGTATATTTACATTACTATATAACCAATCTCCAGAATCTTTTTATCTTGTAAAGATTAAAACTAAAACTCTGTACCCATTAAACATCTCCCTATTTCTCCTTTCCCCAGTCCCTGGTAATACCAGCCTACCTTCTGTTCCTATGAATTTGACTAATCTAAATACCTCATTTAAGTGGAATCATAACAGTATTTTTTTGTGTTATGTGACTGGCTTATTTCATCTAGCAGAGTTCATCCATGTTGCAGCATGTGGCTGAATTTCCTTCATTTTTAAGCTGAATAATAATCTATTATGTATATGGCACATTTTTCTTTATCCGTTCATCTGACAATAGATGCTGGGTTGCTTCCATCTCTTAGCTATTATGAATAAGCGCTGCTATGACATGGGTAAACTAAATAGTGTTTTTAAGCTAAAAATTGAAATAATTTAGTAATTAGGTGCAATGAAATATGATTTTCCTTTTCATATCTATCTCTAGGAGGTTTTGAGAAGTTACTTTAATTTCTTATTCGAAACTCTCCCATTCAGGACAACTTGGTACAGTAAAAACATACTGATCTGAGGCTCAGGGAAACTGGTCTTGATTCCTAATTTTGCTCATACTGGATATTTGGGCTGCTTCTCTCAGTCCCATACGAGGATATCATGGGGGGAGGCTCTGTGGCAAATCATCATGGCTCCTATTCATTCTCTTGTCTTTTCATTTTTATTTTTTATTTATTTTTTCTATTATTTTTCAGACAGTGTCTCACTCTGTCATCCAGGCTGGAGGGTAGTGGCACAATCACGGCTCACTGCAGTCTTGAACTCCTGAGCTCAAGTGAGCCTCCCTCCTCAGCCTTCTGAGTAGCTAGGACTATAAGCGCACACCACCATTCCTGGCTAATTCTTTTTTTTTTTGTAGAGATAAGGTCTCACTGTTGCCCAGGCTAGTCTCAAACTCCTGGCCTCAAGTAATCCTCCTGTGTTGGCCTGCCAGAGTGCTGAGATTATAGGTGTGAGTGACCATGCCCAACTTCATTTATTATTATTTTTATTTATTTAGAGATATAATCTCATTCTGTCACACAGGCTGGGGTGCAGTGGTACATTCCCAGCTCACTGCAGCCTGTACCTCCCAAACTCAAGTGATCCTTCCACCTCAGCCTCCTGCGTAGCTAGGACCACAGGCACATGCCACCAGGCCCAGCTGATCATTATTATTATTTTTTTTTTTTTTGGCAGAGATGAGATCTCACTCTGTTGCTCATGCTGGTCCCAAACTCCTGTTCAAATGATCCCTCCACCTCAGCCTCCCCAGAGTCCTGGGATTATAGGTGTTAGCTACCGCAACTGGCTAACCTCTTCTTTGTATACTGTCTTCTATATAACGTATGGTTCCTCAGAGTTCATTCTTTCAGTAGCATGATTTTCATTGACCTGGTATTGAGGAACAAAGTTAGATATCCTAAAACAGAATTCTGCTACCTCTAGTCACTTTAATCTTTGAGATAGTCAAGCTTAAGTAATCAAGTTTCTACACAGATTCATTATAAAGAGATCAGTAAGGCCCAGAGCGACGTTATCTCTTGCTGCTACTTTCTGACATTTTCTACAAGAAATGGCATTGTAGTCCTTTGGAGTTTACTTATTTCTTTATGTCCTGCTCAGCATTTAGTCCAATGTAAATAATATATGTTCAGTTACCATGTTGGATTTTGAAATGACTTTTCTGGAAAGCCCTTTTATTAGACTGTATGAAGAAGGCAACTTCGGGCCAGGTGCAGTGTCTCACACCTGTAATCCCAGCACTTTGGGAGGTTGAGGTGGATGGATCACAAGGTCAAGAGATCGAGACCATCCTGGCCAACATGATGAAACCCTGTCTCTACTAAAAATACAAAAATTAGCTGGGGCGTGGTGGTGTGCGCCTGTAATCCCAGCTACTTGGGAGGCTGAGACAGGAGAATCGCTTGAACCCAGGGAGGCAGAGGTTACAGTGAGCTGAGATCATGCCACTGCACTCCAGCCTGGTGACAGAGCGAGACTCTGTCTCAAAAAAAAAAATAAGGCAACTTCAGTCTGACAAATCTTCAGTCTTACTCTTGTACAGCTAGGACAATGCCTGGTATGTGGTGATATTCAAGCAGGGCTCAGTTACATATTTCTTTGCTAAAAGAATTACTTCTTTTTTAGCTATGGCACATTATGGGGTGGGTATAGTCAGTTTAATTTGAGAAATCAGAATATTCAAGCACTGATTCAACTCAAGTTGCTAGCTGTCTTTGGAGTTGATGTGGAGCACTGAACTGTGATTAAGAACACAGACTTGGCTGGGCACAGTGGCTCTTGCCTGTAATCCTAGCACTTTGAGAGACCAAGGTAAGAGGATCACTTGAGGCCAGGAATTTTGAGACCAGCCTGGATAGCATAGCAAGACCCTCATCACTACAAAAAGTAAAAGAAAAATTAGCTGGGCGTGGTAACGTGTACCTCTGGTCCCTGCTACTCAGGAGGCTGAGGTGGGAGGATCACTTAAGCCCAGAAGGTCAAGGCTGCAGTGAGCTATGATCACACCACTGCACTCCAGCTGGGGCAACAGAGCAAGACCTTGCCTCAAAACAAAACAAAAACAGGCTTTTTGGAATCAGACTTGAAATCAAGGCTTGAATAAATCCCTGTCACACATCCATTGAATGTCTGCCATGAGCCAAGCATTGTATACTCATGAAAAGATCACCTGTCATTTAAACTTTTATTATTTTTAGAATGCCTATTCCCTACCACAGTAGCCAACCTACTATGTTGATTATTAGAAAAATCTGTAGTTAACTTCCTGAATTCTCACTGTAGAAGTTTGGATTATCTTAAATAGGATGATAATATGAAGACAAGTTTGCTTATTTACATTTTTTAAAGTATTTAGGAAGTTAGTCTAAATATATGTTTTTAAAATTTACATTTTTATTTATTTCTAGGCCTACCATGGTCACCATCAAGCACTGGAAGTGTTGGTACAGTCTTTGTTAGATCTTGATGTCAGAAATAGTAGTGGAAGAACACCCCTAGATCTTGCAGCATTTAAGGGCCATGTTGAATGTGTGGATGTACTCATTAATCAGGGAGCCTCAATCTTAGTAAAAGATTACATTTTGAAGAGGACACCTATACATGCAGCAGGTATGCCGGATATTATGCTTGATTTATTTATTACTTCCTGTCTAATCTCTTTCAATTTCTGGTATATAGTATTTCTGGTTAATTGTCTTTAAAATTTTTGACCTTTTTTTTTCCCCCCCAAATCATATGGATTCTTTGACCCCACCAAATAACTTTATTCACACAAATGTCCCTTAATTTACAAAGCCTCAGTCATTCATAAACATTAGGAGTATCCACAGCATTCAAGGAACTTAAATATAGTGTATTATACCAATCCAAGTAAACCAAGTACAAAAAATATTCATATAAAGTTGCTTACATGTAGATCCTAGATTACCAGCTTCTGTGCAAAAAAGGAAATAAAAATAGATTTATTAACTAGTATTTGAAACTAACTTTGTGCCTGGCTTAAAACCTCCCTCATGCTCAAGCCTGTCCCACACAAGTGTTTAAGAAGTCATTAAAACTCCCCTGCTCTCGGCCGGGCGCGGTGGCTCAAGCCTGTAATCCCAGCACTTTGGGAGGCCGAGACGGGTGGATCACGAGGTCAGGAGATCAAGACCATCCTGGCTAACCCGGTGAAACCCCGTCTCTACTAAAAAATACAAAAATCTAGCCGGGCGTGGTGGCGGGCGCCTGTAGTCCCAGCTACTCGGGAGTCTTGAGGCAGGAGAATGGCGTGAACCCGGGAGGCGGAGCTTGCAGTGAGCTGAGATCCGGCCACTGCACTCCAGCCTGGGCGACAGAGCGAGACTCCGCCTAAAAAAAAAAAAAAAAAAAAACTCCCCTGCTCTCATGAAAAGAAGCTCCTCTGCACAAAAGATTTAAGTGCCCCCAAGTAGCTCCCTTCCTCCTGTGGCCTCTCTTGGAAAACAACCTGGGCAGCCTCCTTGCTGATACCTTCTGCAATTTTAGGGGCCCCTCACGGGGCAGTGGCAGTGGATTCATCTTTTGATGATGGTTGCAGATGCTAACATTGGCCAATTCTATGTCACACCTACTGGTTACCCTTTGAGGGCATTTCTCCAGACAAAAGCCCCACTACCGCCAAAGCTTAGGTAGGGCCGGATCAGAGATGCCCCTGTGTTGTTTTGAAGGCTGTGCTATAGCCTGGACTTATCTCTGGACTTCTCCCTCTAAAATCCAGTGGCCTGAAGAGCTGAAAAATGTCAACTTGGCTCTTCAAAAGTTTCCAGACCCAAGGAGATTACCAGGAACTACAACTCTCTGGGGAAATGTTTGACTTTAAGTGATAAAATGATTGTATTCTCAGGGAATATCAACAACAAGATTATCATCACTTAAAAAATTTTCTGCCTTGGAAGTTGGGTTTATGTAATAATCTAACTTCTGAAACACTTTATCAACAAAACAATGCAGTATTTCTTTCTGGTAGAAGTTATTTTGGATTGGTATAATCTTTCATTTAACAAGTGATACACATTTTGACTTACTTTACCAGTGTACTGCATTAAACATTTATGCAGACAGGATTTACAGAGCGATTACTTTATGCAAGAACTATTCCATATTGTGATATTATGATGTAGCAGATAGGTTAAAATATGAAAGTCTATAACCAAGTCAGTGAAATGACTTGTTACCCACTGTGTATCACTGGCAGATGCAGATTCACAACTCTCTATTTTTATAGCGTGATCCTTAAGAATGCATTTGAATTTTTTTTTCTAGTCCTTTGGGAAGCTTACATTTTAGAAGACGGTTGATAACACCCACTGTTGCTCCCAGAGCCGCCTTTCAAAGCTATCAGATGTTCAAGTGGGGCTGAGAAAAATATTTTAATAATAGATTAGAACCGCTAATAAATGTATATACACTACTATATGGTTTGCACAAGAGGTTAAAATGCATTACTTGCTGTTATCTTATTCTGAAAAAGAGTGAAGTTATATATCAGTTTGCAAAACTTGGTGGCGCATGCCTGTATTCCCCACCTAACTTGGGAGGCTGAGGCAAGAGGGTCACTTGAGCTCAGTTTGATTGCACTGTAGGCAACATGATGAAACCCTGTTCCTAAAATATAAAATAAAGAAAATGTGGCACATATACACCATGGAATACTATGCAGCCATAAAAAAGGATGAGTTCGCGTCCTTTGTAGGGACATGGATGCAGCTGGAAACCATCATTCTCAGCAAACTATCGCAAAAGCAGAAAACCAAATACCGCGTATTCTCACTCATGGGGAGAACTGAACAATGACATCACTTGGACACAGGAAGGGGAGCATCACACACCGGGTCCTATTGTGGGGAGGGGGTAGGGGGAGGGATAGCATTAGGAGATATACCTAATGTAAATGACGAGTTAATGGGTGCAGCACACCAACATGGCACATGTATACATATGTAACAAACCTGCACATTGTGCACATGTACCCTAGAACTTAAAGTATAATAAAAAATAAAATAAAATAAAAATAAATTTTGTACACTGGATGAGATCTGTGAAAAATAAGTACATTTTTAAAATATTAATCTACCACTAGAAAAATTATATCATAATTGCAGTTCATATGCAGAACTAATTGAAAGCTTGCGTGGAGTGGTTGCACTCTTAATAGGTAAATACTGAACTGAGACATTAGCCAGTCCCTTAGAAGTAGTTAACCAATGCCATATAGTTCAGCATAAATCCTACCCACAAAAAGAACCACAGGTTACTGTTAGTGCCTGCCTACTCAATAAATGCAAGCCTTGTATCTGTAGATGCCTTTCAAATTTGGAGATCTTTAGAGAGCGTCTATAAGCCATGAAAAGAACACTGAGGGTTTTTTTCTGGAGGTTTACCAGTTCTTTCCCACAGTGATGCTGTGCTTGGTGTTTGGGTATTGAATTTAGATGACACAAACATTCATCAGTAGCTACTGTGCACTGAGTGTAAAAGAACTGATTTGAAAAATGATGGGCCAAACAAGATCTTCTTGGACATCCCCAGGTGTTATGACACTGTTTTTTGTTGCTAAGCTGTGAGAGCTGCTGGCAGAGTGCAGCATACAGATTGGGCTAGGGTGGGAGAGGTGGTTTAAGCCACAAGTTTAATAACTATTAGTATTTAATATAACTGTCGGAACGTACTGTAGAATATTCGGCACCTAGCTAGTTTTTGCTGGTTTTGTCATCTTTTAATTAGAAGAAATAGTGATAGATGTTCTTTTCTGTATCATATGCACGATACATTTTTCTAATGTATTTATTTAAACATCAGACTTTATATATATGAACAGGACCTGAATTTTGCAGAGGATTTAACTTACTTCAAAAGCTCTTTTCTTTGGACTACTTCTACTTATACCCTTGCCCATTTTATGTATTTGGACTTAACACATGCATTCTTTAGATGTATAATTTTTCTTGTACTATATATATATCATTTGAAATTATTTCAGTGGGAAATAACAGAGTACCCTACTGAAAATAGCTTAAGGGGTTTAGTCTCTCACATACAATGTCCAAAGGCAAGCTGGGCATGGTGGCTCACACGTGTAATTCCAGCACATTGGGAGGCCGAGGCGAGTGGATCATGAGGTCAGGAGTTCAAGACCAGCCTGGCCAAGATGGTGAAACGTCATCTTTCCTAAAAATACAAAAAAATTCGCCAGGTGTGGTGGCGGGCACCTGTAATCCCAGCTACTCAGGAGGCTGAGGCAGACAATTGCTTGAACTCAGGAGGCAGAGGTTACAGTGAGCCAAGATCGCACCACTGCACTCCAGCCTGGGCGACAGAGCGAGATTCTGTCTCCAAAAAAAAAAAAAAAAAAAAAAGGCAATATCCAAAGACAGATTCAGTTCCAGGATTGGTTGATTCTACAATGGTGTCAGAGCTCTGGATTAAATTCTGTTATTCTCTTACATTTGCATTAATGTTGCAGGAATCATTGCTGCTACTTTTAAGGATTGTATCTAAAATCAGAAAGGAAAGGGGGCTTTTCATTATCAGAGATAAAAGTGTTTCCCAGCAGCCTCTAGACTTATCAGCATCTCAGTAGTCAGACCTGGTCCCTGTGCTGCTCACCTTAAAACTGATCGCTGTCAGAGGAGAATGGGGTTGTTGTGATTAACTTGGTCTAATCATGATACCATCCCTTTGCTAGAGGCAGGGCACTCTTCCTGACCACACTGCCAGACAGCTAAATAAAATGAGCATTCTTTTAGAGGCAGATGATAGGGGATGGGTGCTGGGTGGGCAGTCTGCCTGTCATGTTTTACAGTGAGGAATTCATATTTGTTCAGCTTTAACAATCAAAGGCCGTAGAAACCTTCTTTGTACCTATAGTTTTCATTCTTGCATATTAAATTCAGTGAAACTATCCCAAAATTAAATTCTGGAAGATGTGCTCTAAGATGGACATTTTCTATTTTATCATTATATGTAATTATTGAAATGTTTAAATTTCACTTTACAGCAACAAATGGTCATTCAGAATGCTTACGGCTATTAATAGGAAATGCAGAGCCACAGAATGCAGTAGATATTCAAGATGGAAATGGACAGTAAGTTTCGATAAATAATTGTTGCATCGCAGAAGGGCGTATTTCGAAAACCAGAGTACAGTCTTAAGTGATAGCACTGAACCTATTCCTGTTGTTGCTCAGGACGCCTCTGATGCTATCTGTTCTCAACGGGCACACAGACTGTGTTTACTCACTGCTGAACAAAGGAGCAAATGTAGATGCCAAAGATAAGTGGGGAAGGACAGCGTTGCATAGAGGGGTAAGCAGAAATATGCTCTTTCCTTTCAAAAAGCCTTTATAACTTCATATTACCTAGAACTGAACTAGGTTATGTTTATTTTCCCTTCATTAAATGTTCGTCAAATAGTCTTGACCATTTCTTTCAGTATCTTAGTTTTTAAATGCTAATTTTGAACAATTACAAAGTACAACTTAATCTAGAGAACAATGTTAGAACAAAATTTTAAAACTCTAAAACTTTGAGTAGAATTAATGTCAATTTGACTTTCCATTATCTCACTTATTTTCTTATACACCTTAATCTTTTTTCACCTTTGAAATATCATTATTTTCACTGAATACCAAGTTTCTCTCTTCCTGTTTTCATACTATTTGCATTTTAACAGAGTTGTTGCTTTAACTGAATTTTTAAACCACTTCCAATAAAAATACAGAATTACTCCTAAAAGGATAAGTGGCTTTAATTGATGGAAGGATATTGGAGTATGGTCTTTAAAGTTTTTAATTAGCTGAAATTGGCATGTAATATTTAGCATAATATGTTTGACTACCTGTAAATTATTTTCTTTCAGGCAGTTACAGGCCATGAAGAATGTGTAGATGCATTACTTCAACATGGTGCTAAGTGCTTACTTCGGGATAGCAGGGGCCGGACGCCTATACACCTGTCTGCTGCCTGTGGACACATTGGTGTTCTCGGAGCCCTTTTGCAGTCAGCAGCATCTATGGATGCAAATCCAGCCATAGCAGACAATCATGGATATACGGCACTTCACTGGGCTTGCTACAATGGTTAAGTATACAAACACAAATGCATATCATTCTGTGCTGAACAGAGATAAGTATAATATATTCAGATATTAATGAAAATGACATACTTATAAGGCAAATTTTAAGTTTAAAATTAGCAAAAACCTTGGGAATAATCTGTGTAGGCTCACTTACTAATAATAATTACTGTGTAGGCTCACTCCTGTCCTTTGTCATGCTAAAGCCAAGACACTAGTTGTCAAAGATGTTCTGAGATAAGCCATGAAGTATTTTTGAGGTTTTTCTTTTCTTTTTCTTTTTTTTTTTTTTTTTTTTTTTCCGTTTTGGTAGGGTCTTGCTATGTTGCCCAGGCTGGTTCTGAACTCCTGGCCTCAAGTAATCCTCTCACCTCAGCCTCCCAAAGTGTTGGGATTACAGGCATGAGCCACCATGTAGCCTGAAGTTTTTCTTAGATCTTTGTTTCAACAAATATTTAACATTTTTAGGAGGTTTTTACAATGTTTCCATTGCTTTTATATAGTGTGCTTGTATTTTGATTGTGTTCTTTTACTTTTTTTCTTTTTAGAGTCCCACTATGTTGCCCAGGCTGGTCTCAAACAACTGGGCTTAAGCAATCCTCCCACCTCGGACTCCCCAAGTGCTAGGATTACAGGCATGAGCCATCGCACCTAGCCATGTTCTTTTACTTTCTAAATAAAATCGTATTAGGGGAAAAATGACCAAAAGTAGGAGAAACAGTGAAATGTATCACATTCTAAACTGAAATCTATGTATGTTTTCTGAGCACATTGCAAGATAACATTCATATATTACCACTAATATCCATGCTCAGTGTTTTAAAGGAATAAATCCCTAGCAGGTCTGAGAATTAGAAACTCTGCTACATGGTTAGAAAAGATTTTCTTTGGCCTCCTACAGGCTCACAGTCATAGTCATTGGTTTTATAGGTAGACTCACAAAAGGTCACTTAGGGAAACATAAAGCTACTTTGAAGGTATAGATGTTAAAAATGCAGTTTGGCTTATGAAATGCCACTAATTAAAATAATTTATGTAATGAAGTATGTTGAGATATTTTTTCCTTGTGCAGGGCAATAGATTTGATCATCTTAGAAAACTCAGGTACATTATATATAGTGCAAGCATCAGTGTTGTCAAAGTTCAAGCTTCAGGCTTTAGCAGAGAAATTAGAAGTTTTTAAAATTTGTTTTCAATTTCAGTATAGCTTCAAGATTAATGTTAATTATGACAGCAGATCTACAAAGCTGTAGTTCACAATTCTGATAACCTTCCCTCAAAGTGTAGAGAAAATATAAATTGCCTCTTTATATAAATATCCACTTACTAAAATAAATAAGTATAACGTCTGTTGTAAAATCAGACTGCCTTACCAGAAAGTTGAGATTTGCTATCTTTCTGTAATACGCTGTTTCATAGTTCTTTCACTGGGAGCTGTTTTGACAAAGTTATCAAGTTAAAGCAAAAGAGGAAAAAGCTGAATCTTGTAAAATTATAACTTCATTAAATGTTTTCACAAGTATTTCTGAGATACAATATTTTGATTTTCATATTAGTCCTTATGCCATAGTTGGGAGTTGCATTCTTTTGCTGTGAGAACATTTTGGGTTCTTGAGGTTTGTCCTATGATTACTGTTGGTTATCCTTCAGCTGAGTACTGATAGTATCATAAAAACTTGAATAGTTAAATCTATTGCTCATTCAACAAGCTTAGTTTAGTCTCTTTGTTTTTTACTACCTTAAATCCTTGACCAAAACAGTTTTGAAACTATAAAACCTTTGGGGTTTAACTTCTCTTTTTCCCATTTCTACTCACTAAGGCAAGTAGAAATGAGTGTAGTGAAGTGGCCAGAGACTAGTATTCATACTATCACAAAGAAGTATTTTGCATTGATATTTGATTTGTTTCTGTAATGTGACTTGACATTTTACAAGTATAAGGAAAAACCAAAATAACTAATATAGTGGGAAAATATATACAAATGTGAGTTGTGTTTCTGTAAAAAAGTCAGTGAGATAAAACTGTTTAGAAGCAAAGACTTATTGCTTGGTTTTTAAAAAAATATATCCCTGAAGATGAACCATTGGAAAAATCACAGTGAGGTATTTTTCCTCAGGAAGAGCATTTAGTTGTAAATGTATGGCTGTAACTGTCCTTTGGAGAGTTGCTTTCTATTACAATGTTTCTTATCAGATCTATATGTACAACAGTTTCCCTAAAGTGAGTTCCTACTCTATCACTACTAAATTTAGACTCTAAGCACGTTTTGTACAAGAGACAGAATTTTGCAAGAACTGCATGCGTGGTTGCCATTTAAAGATCATAACAAATGTGTCTGATTTTCAGCCTGTAGCAAAATTGTGGTGATGCCGAATTTGAGCTGGAAGGAATTAAATGTGTGTTGGCTATATGCAGTAAGCGACTATATAGACAGTCTAAAATAAATACCATATTTATAGCCAAAATCCCATTTTATAATTTGGCATCCTGAAAGTAGAATATGTAAAATGGTTTTACTTTAGTAATTATTGTACAGCTGTAAAGAAAATTGGAAGCACTCCAACAGAACAGAAAACAACCTTTCTCTCAAAATTGAAATGATGGCCAAGTTTTAGAAAAAACTGGCTGTAGATACTAAAAGTTCACAATTTCAGTTTGTATAGTCATTCAGTCACAGAACTTAAGAATACTTATTTATTCCTTTAAAAAATGTGTTCATTTTTATGAAGCTCTGAACATCCTCAGAATAGCCTCTGAAACTCAGGAGGACCCAGTTTACCGTCCTATCTATCTTTCATAAATGATGATAGAAAGTTATGAGATTTTCTGCTTAATATCACCCAATAATGATTTCTGGAGGTGACCAAGGGGACCCACTGTTCCCTTTTCTCAGTCTGTACTCAGATAGTAAGTGGTTCTCAAACCCTTTGGTCTCAGCAACTATGGATTGATACTGACTGTATTAGAAATTGGAACTGGGAAATTTTAAATACTTATTGATTTATTTAAAAATAATGTCTATTACATGTTAACATAATCTTTTTTATGAAAACTATTTTCCAAAAGTATTTTCTTTTTAGCGAGAAGAGTAGGACATCTCTTTATAGCTAATTTAAGAGAATAGTTGGGTTCTCATCTGTGTTTTTATTCACATCTTTTTTGCGTCACCCCAGGGTTTTCCCCAGGCCACACCTTAAGCACCCATATACCTGGAGAATGGGAGGCTCTTAAGTCAACAATGGACAACTTTCCATTGCTGTATCTTAGTAATGAGTTAACATTCAGCACAATGGAATTAAAGCAGTTTCTCAACCTCAGCACTGTGACCTTTTGGGCCAGATGATTGTTGCAAGGGACTCTCCAGTGCATTGCAAGATGTTTAGCAGCATCATTGGTTTCTACCCACTAAATGCCAGTTGCACTGTCCCACCTTCAGTTGTGATAAACAAAACTGTCTGTAGGCATTGCCATGCACAATATCTCCTGATGGGTAAAATCCGCTTGAAAACTACTAGATTAGAGAAAAGAACTGACAAAAGATGGAACACAATTACAGGTTTTTCTGAAAATTACTTTTCCACAATTATAGGATAAAGTTTAAGCTGATTAAGTTTGAGTAATTTAAAAAGAAAGGAAAATATAACAAGACTTTGGTAGGCAAATATTAAACCATGAAAGTATATAAAGAGGCCACATAAGAATCTAATTTATTCCTAAAGTAGATCCTAAATAACTCATAAAGTAAGCAACATTTTAGTTGTAGTAATTAGGGTATTAAATTAAAACCCTGGCTCTGGAATTAGGGTTAGAAAATTTGAAGTTTGGATTTTTCTGTTTTTCAAGTTACTGTTAAAAACTATGGAGCAGATATTGATCAATAATCAGTACAGTCAACCCTCCATATCCATGGGTTCGCCATCCGTGAATTCAGCTGAATGTCGATCAGAAATATAGTTAGGCTGAACATGTACAGATTTTTTTGTTGTCATTATTCCCTAAACAATACAGTATAACAACTATTTATATAGCATTTACATGGAATTAAGTTGTAAGTAATCTAGAGATGACTTAAAGTATATGAGAAGATGTGCATAGGTTATACACAAATAAACCATTTTGTACAAGGGAACTGTATAAGGGACTATGGATTTTTGCTGTCAGTGAGGAGTCCTGGACCCCATCCCCCGAGAATACCAAGGACTGGATACTTGTCCTTTACCACAGCAATATCACTTTGGTAGGAAATTGTCCTACAAAAATACTTCCTAAAATAAAAACAAAATGTTGGGCATGGTGGCTCATGCCTGTAATCCCAGCATTTTAGGAGGCTGAGGCAGGCAAATCACTTGAGCTCAGGGATTCAAGACCAGCCTAAGCAGCGTGGCAAAACTTCATCTCTACAAAATATCAAAAAATTAGCCAGATGTGGTAGCCTTGCACCTGTTGTCTTAGCCACTCAGGAGGCTGAGGTAGGAGGATCACTTGAGCCCAGGAGGTTGAGGCTGCAGTGAGCCATGATCATGCCAGTGCACTTCAACTTGGGCAACAGAGCAGGACCCTGTCTCAAAAAATTGTTTTAGTAAAATTTAAAAATGCCAGAATGTTTCATTACAGCATTGTTGATAATATCATGAAGAATTTTTTTAAACTAACAATCACTTTAAAATCCATAATTAGATTAAATAATTTCATACACTTTGATACTGTGAAGCTCTTCAGAACACTAAAGAATAAGATTTTAGCCGGGCACAGTGGCTCACGCCTGTAATCCAGGCACTTTGGGCAATGGAGGCGGGTGGATCACCTGAGGTCAGGAGTTCGAGATCAGCCTGACCAACATGGTGAAACCCCGTCTCTACGAAAAATACGAAAAACATTAGCTGGGCATGGTGGTGGGCGCCTGTAGTCTCAGCTACTCAGGAGGCTGTGACAGGAGAATCACTTGAACCTGGGAGGCAGAGGTTGCAGTGAGCCGAGATCGCGCCCCTGCGCTCCAGACTGGATGAAAGAGCGAGACTCCGTCTAAAATAATAATATTTCTATATATGCTATTATGGAAGGATATGTGTAGTTAATACTAAGTAAAAAGCAAGTTGCGGAATTAAACATCCCATTGCCATTAAAAAAATAAATAGCACAGTCATCTCTCATTTGCTGTTGAGGATTGGTTTCCAGTACCCCTTATGAATACCAAAACCAACAGGTGCTCAAGTCCCTTTTAGAAAATGGGATAGTATTTGCATATAACGTATGCACATTCTCTACTATACTTTAAGTCATCTCTGGATTACTTATAATAGCCAATGTAATGTAAATGGTATGTAAATAATTGATATGCTGTATTTAGGGTATATGACAAGAAAAAAAAAGTCTGCTCTGTTTTTTTTTCCCCCAAGTATTTTTAATTTGGGTTTGGTTGAATTGATGGATGCAGAACCCATGGATACAGAGAGCCAACTATATGTATGTATGCTCATGCAGTTGTATATGCCTAGAAATTTTCTGGAACTACTGGTGGCTTAACAGCTACCAGTGGTTATATTCCAGAGATGGGAACTGGGAGATGGGATGGGGGAGAGACTTTTACATTTTTCCTTTAAACATTTATGTGTATCTGTGATTTTTGCCAGTATCTCCTTTGAATTTTAATATCTGGTTCTTTACACCTATTTAGGTCACGAGACATGTGTAGAACTGCTTTTAGAACAGGAAGTTTTCCAGAAAACGGAAGGAAATGCTTTTAGTCCATTGCATTGTGCTGTGTAAGTAAAGCCAGAATGAATCAGACTTGGTTTGAGTGTTTTAAGAAATACACCATTGCTGTGAGAATGATCACCATGTTACCTTACACAGGATAAATGACAACGAAGGTGCTGCTGAGATGTTAATTGATACATTAGGTGCCAGCATTGTGAACGCCACAGATTCAAAAGGAAGGTAGGAATTCAACTATGTATTAAATAGTTTTAGCCAGGCACAGTGGCTCATGCCTATAATCCTAACAATCTGGGAGGCCGAGGTGGGAGGATAACTTGAAGCCAGGAGTTTAAGACCAGCCTGGTCAACATACTAAGACCTGCATCTCTACCCAAAAAAAAAGACATGATGATGCATGCCTGTGATCCCAGCTATTCAGGAGGCTGAGGCAGGAGGATCACTTGAGCCCAAGAGTTTGAGGCAGCAGTGAGCTGTGATTGCACTACTGCATTCCAGCCTGGGTGACAGAGTGAGATCCTGTCTCTGCCCTACCCCCCAAAAAAGTTTTATTTTCAATAAGAAATAAATTTTAACTACTGGCCTGGTGTGAGAGAATTTACAGAAAACCCATTATTATTTAAAAGTTGATTTTTATATTTGCAAGTATAAATTGTTATAAGATCTCAATTATTTTTACATTATAAACGGTTTTTCTATTTATAGATTTTAGGAAATTTTCCTCCTTTAAACTATTTTAAAATGTAAATTTTTCCCCTTTCTTTAGAAGTTGTTTGTTTCCCAGAGATAATTGTTAACAAAGTTAAAAGTTTTCTAAATAGGAATAAAGGCTAGAAGAAAGTCCAGCAGTTGTAAGAGGTGGTGGTATTCAGGTCAGGATTTATTTCTTTCAAAATTTCCTTTAATGATGTAATGTTATTTTAGCAATTTTGTAATTAATCTTTACTTCATACTAGTTCTAGTTTAATTAAGGCCTTCTATATTATTGAAAGTACAAATTTCTATGGGAGAAATTAGTGAGCTCCATTGAGCCTATTTGTTTGTATACAGGCAGTGCTTTTATAGCCTAATATGTAAACCCTTAAAAACTGCATGTCACAAATTAAAGAATATTTTTCCAGCATATATAACATTCAAATTTAGTCATACGTTTCAATTTTCCTTTATCACAGAACTCCTCTGCATGCAGCTGCCTTCACAGACCATGTAGAGTGTTTACAGCTGCTGCTGAGCCATAATGCTCAAGTCAATTCTGTGGACTCTACAGGGAAAACACCTCTTATGATGGCTGCAGAAAATGGACAAACAAATACAGTTGGTAAGTAAACTTCTTTAAAATTGTATTTTCCTAAGTATGTGTATCACTTATTTATAACTTAGATCCCAAGACCTCTGACTTCAGCTAGTTACCTTACCACTCCTAAGACTTAAAACCTTTTACCTGTTTGCAATCCACATTTTCATTTAGGGATACAATGTTTTAGTTTGCCCTTACTGATTGAGGAGTCTACTTTACGATGGCCCTATAACATCGTGGTGAAGAACACTGACTCTGGAGTTGGATTGCCTCAATATGAGTCCTAGATCTTCCAGCTAAATGACCTGATGCCTTGCCCTCAGTTTTCTCATTTACAAAATGAGAAAAATAACAGTATCTACTTGGTGGGTCGTTGTGAGGTTTAAATAAATTACTATAAATCCAGAGCATATAAAACAGTATTTAAAATTTAGTGCACAGTCACAAAATAAATGTTAATTGCCATTGTTAGAGTGTGTGACTTATACAACAATATAATTGTCTTATACAATTATATGAAGATACAGTATATATGTTATATATTACAATATTTTTCTTGTACTTAAGTTTTTGTGAGAGGGACTTTTTTGCTTTGTATCTTCGTTTCTCTACAGTGAGTTATTGGTAATCTAAGAAACATGTTCATAAACATAAGAATTGATGCACTTTTTCCTCCCAGAGATGCTGGTTAGCAGTGCTAGTGCAGAACTGACTTTACAAGATAACAGTAAAAATACTGCCCTCCATTTGGCTTGTAGCAAGGTATGTATACATTCTAAGAACGTGTTTTCATTGTTAACAGTGGCATTACAAGTTTTTTGACTTCACTAAAATGAACAGAACTCAGGACCAAACCTCTCTAATGATCACTGGTATTAGATTTCTTTTTTTTTTTTTTTTTTTTTTTTTTTTTTTGTTTAAGTACAATTTCCATTTTATTTTTCTCCAGAGAATAGTCTGTCTCAGTCTTTAAGGACTCAGCTCCTTACATGGGTTTTGGTGGGGGACGTGGGGCAGCACCCGCAGGTCTAAATCGGGGAGGGGGTGTTCGGTCCTTGCGGGCTTCACGAGATCGATTCCTGACTACTTTGCTGTGAATTGCACAACTCACACAGTAATGCAGCTTCACATACAGCTTGGGAAGCACATAGGCATCAAAGACGCTCGCTTCAGAAATGTCCCTGACCGCTGTGGCCTCCACTATGTTTCGAATGACGAATTTCTTAATGGCCTTGTCCTTGGGCACGCATCGGGCACAGTTAGTGCAGCGAATAGGCTGCACATGGCCGCGGCCCTTTTTGGCACGACCGTTGTTCCTTCTTTTCTTTGTCATTTTGGACGTACGGACCGAAGAAGAGCGGTATTAGATTTCTTGAACAAAATTATTGACTTATAAGGCACCATGGCGTATCAAAGTGTCCAGTAAGCCAAATAAGTTTTGGAACACAAGCCTAAGTATAATTATCCTCTTTCCTTAATCTTAATTTTGTCCTCTTCTCCTACCCTCACTCCCAAGATGTGTTTGGGCAAATATTAAGATACTAGCCAGGAAAATTCATGGCATATGAATGGTGTTGTACATATTATATGAACTAGGGTTGCAGATTGTTGAGTGTATAAATGTACCTTGAATGGTACCCAAGTTTTTATAACTTATCTGCCACAATTTTTGTAGGGTCATGAAACTAGTGCCTTGTTAATACTGGAAAAGATAACAGATAGAAACCTCATCAATGCAACCAACGCAGCCTTGCAAACGTGAGTACTGTCAGTATCTAGTATAAACTTTGTGACCTATAATTATAAAAATGATAAATGGATTTTTTTAAACATGTGACTGTTGGAATAGGTTTCATTAGTCATAGAAGTAATTTTAATAGTTTACAACTGTCAAAACTCATTTCTAAAATGATAACTAAAAGGCATATTATTTAAAATGCTTTTGAACTGAAACTTCATTACAACATTGACAATAATGTATTTTGTTCTTAATCCACCTACCTAATTTTCTGAAGGAAAGTAGTACTATTTTGTATATTTTATGGAAATCAACTAATAATATGTTACTTGAAACTAACAATAAATGAGGTAAGAAGCTTTATGTGTGTCTGTAAGCAAATAAAGTTCCTGAAAGAATCAGACTTTTTAATAATGTGAGCAGCCAACCTCCAGATTGACTGACAGAAATCTTACATCAGTGTCTCTCATTGTCCTTTACTACTCCATTTTGAGGTTTAGTAAAGATAAAAATCTTAGAATATTGTTGCCCATTCTGGGATTAGTCAGATCCCTTGAAAGTCCAAAAATTAGTCATGATGCTTGTAAGCTGTTTTCAAAACCTATTAGAATTTATGCTACTGCAGTTTACAGTTTTTAATATATAGTCTATGTCTTTACCAGCCTCATTCCTTAACAATGGAGGAATGCAATTTCAATGGTAAAATTATTTTAAACATTGAGTCTGAGAAGAAAAGTAACAAAAGGATTGGGTGAAGGTAGGGACCTGTTGATGGGACCTATGGCTGAGCTTGATGTCGAGCTACACGTTGACAAGGTGTGACAGTGCATTACACGGAGGTTCTGCTCTCCCTGCCCCCATCTTTGTTATTAGGACTAGGTGCCTCGAGTTTGTACCTCTTGGTTTTCACAAGTTGACAAAAATGCTCTTTGACAGCCAGGTGTGTATATGTACATGTATCATGTTTTTTCCCCTAGACCTCTGCATGTTGCTGCCCGAAATGGGCTAACAATGGTGGTTCAGGAACTTTTGGGAAAAGGAGCAAGTGTGCTTGCAGTAGATGAAAATGGTAAGTTGGTTATATATTGTCTTCCCTTAACCTAGAGCTTTTATCTTTTGATGATCCATATTTGAAGAGAAATAAACTTGGATATTTTTTATTAGTCAAAGAGGAGAGCTAAAGTTAATAATGATAGTAGTTTGCAGCAAAGGAATAAGGGCAAAAGAAATAGGAAAAGTTTTCTAACAGATGTACTTCTGAATTCCTGTATCATCTGTTATAGCAAAGTTAGTATTTACTGTTTATACTTGCCACTTTCTGTTGTTTTAGTAGCCAAAGATTTTGTTCTTTCAGCAAATATTATTAAGATCCTAATTAAGTGCTATATTCTTATTTAAAGTCAGTGCTTCTACTCATGCACTAGATCCTGTCCCCTTTTGCCTACTTCATAATGTCACTGACAGTTCTCTTTTATGTCCTGCGGTAACAATTTTTCGCTCTCTTCCTGTATTATTATTCAGTATATAAACACTAGTTCCCTCATCTTTAAAAAACAATTTATAAATCTCACTACTCTTGCCAGCTGCTGCCATATTTCTGTGTTCCCCTTTGCAGCAAAACTATTATCTTGCTGTCCCCAGTTATTCACCTCTCATTCTTTCATTCTTTTGTTGTTGTTGTTGTGTTGTTTTTTGTTTTTGAGACGGAGTCTACCTCTGTTGCCCAGGCTGAAGTGCAGTGGCGTGATCTCAGCTTACTGCAACCTCCGCCTCCTGGTTTCAAGCGATTCTCAAGCCTCAGCCTCCCCGGGTAGCTGGGATTACAGGCACCCGCCACTATGCCTGGCTAAATTTTGTATTTTTAGTAGAGACAGGGTTTCACCATGTTGGCCAGGCTGGTCTCACACTCCTGACTTCAGGTGATCCGCCCACCTCAGCTTCCCAAAGTGCTGGGATTACAGGTGTGAGCCACAGTGTCCGGCCTCATTCTTCCATTCTCTCTTAATTTCCCTGTAGTCAGGCCTTCTCCCCTCACCCCTACACATAACAAAACTATTCTCATCAAAACCACCTATGACTTCTACTATGTTAACTACTACTTAGCTCTCATTTTACTTGATAGATCAGCTTTTGACATAACTGATTACTTATTTCCTTTGATAAATTTTATTTACTCTGGTTTTTGAACCCCACACTTCCTTGGTTTTCCTTCCACATTACTAGTTATTCTTTCTTAATTTCTTTTACAAAATTTCTCCCTCTTCTCCTTCTGGGACTCAATCCTTCATTCTTTTTGCTTTCTCTGTCTACATTGACTCCCTAGTGCTCTCATCAATTCCTTTAGTTTTAAATACTACCTATATGCTGAGAATTCCCAGATTTATATCTCCAACCCAGACTTCTCACAGTCTCTGTATATCCACGTGCCTAATTGACATATCCATGTAGATATCTGATAAACAGCTTAAACCTAGAAAGTCCAGAACTGAACGGTTGATCCTTTTCCACTCCCCTTGCCAGACCTACTCTCCCCACAACATCATGATCTCCACTGAAGACAATTCTTATTCTTATAATTGCTCAGGTCAAAACCCCTAGAGTCATCCTTGATTCCTCTCACTCATACCCAGTGTATAGTCCATCAGCATACACTATTGACTCCACCTCTAAAGCAGATTTAAAATATGCCCACTTTTTTATTTATTGCTACCAGCCTGTCCTGGATCCTTTTAAAGTATATGAGAACATGTTACTCTTGAATTTCGGTTCGGTTTGGTTTTGTATTGTTTTGTTTTGTAAAGAGACAGGGTCTCACTCTGTTGCCCAGACTGGAGTACAGTGGTAGATCATAGCTGATTGTAACCTTGAACTCCTGGGCTCAAGAGAACCTCTCACCTCAGCCTCCCAAGTAGCTAGCACTACAAGTATGCACCACCATGCCCAGCTAATTTATTTTTTGTGGTGATAGACTCTCACTATATTGTCCAGGCTGGTCTTGAACTCCTGGCCTCAAGCAATCCCCCCACCTCGGCCTCCTAGAGTGCTCCACCTGGCCCCATTCATAGCTCTTAAAATGACTTTACTAGGCCCTATATGATGTGTCCTCCACCTCGTCACCTTTCTGATACTGTTTCCTAGTCTTCTCCTTTCTCTACTTGATTCTGCAATGCCAGCCCCTCCACAGCAGGGTTATACATGCATTGTGATCTTCATTCTGACTGTTTACTCTGCCTGAACACTCTGTCTCCAAACATCCCATGACTAAATCTGTCACCTGTTTCAAATCTTAGCTCCAGTTTCATCTTCTCAATGAAGCATATTCTAACTACTCTGTACTACAACTTGCTAGATACTCCTACCACAGCATTCTCAGTCCTTGTTAACCTGCTTCACTCTTTCCTCTTTTTTTACATAAAGCTTTTAACATATTGTATATAATGTACTTTTTTATTATGTTGATTGTGTGTCTTCCCCACTAAAGTGAATGTAAGCTCCACAAGAACAGTGAAATCTTTATCAATTGCATTCACTGATATATTCTTAGTGTTCTGAATAGTGCCTGAGCAAGTGGAGGCTCAGTGAATATTTGCTGCACGAGTGAATATTTGCTGCTTGAGTGATTATGCCAAGCACCGTACTAACTTCTGAGGATACAGTGTAAAATAAGACATAGTCTACTCCCTTGGAGATAAGAGTGTAAACAGGCTATTAATGATGCACTTAAAATAGTTTAATTGGAATAAGCATAGAATGCTATGAGAGTACTTAAGAGGGTCTTCAAATCCTTTCTTGCAGGATCAGAGAAGGCATCCCAAAAAATGTGACCGCTAAGCCAAAATCCAAAGGATAAGGAGAAAGTGGGGAAGGAACTTTCTAAGCAAAGAGAGTGGCATGTTAAGAGATATAACTGGCCGGGCACAGTGACCCACGCCTGTGATCCCAGCACTTTGGGAGGCCAAGGCGGGTGGATCAGCTGAGGTCAGGAGTTTGAGACCAGCCCCGCCAACATGGCGAAACCCCGTCTCTACTAAAACTACAAAAATTAACCAGGTGTGGTGGCACGTACCTGTAATCCCAGCTACTTGGGAGGCTGAGGCAGGAGAATCGCTTGAACCCAGGAGGCAGAGGTTGCAGTGTGCCGAGATCACGCCACTGTACTCTAGCCTGGGTGACAGAGCGAGACTTTGTTTCAAAAAATAACCCCCATGCAGAGGAGAGAAGCCTATTTTTAGTCATATTCTGACTAGAAAACACACATGAAACATGCTTCTTTCCCCACCCCCACTATCTTCCAAGGCATCCTGGCCTATGTAATGGGTTGTTCTGCCTGCCAGCAGCAGCAACAATAGCAGCAGGCACCTTTAGAAGAACCCTTGAAAGAAATGTGGGCAGTGAAGCACTCCCCTAGCTACTTTGGACAAATAAAATTTAATTAAAAGTACAGACAGCCTTCAGCCACTGGTGCCAAACTTGGAAGGACATCAGTTGTTCTCTGACCCTTGACAAAATGGGAACTTTACAAAGGGGGAAAAAAATTACTTTTTGTGACTGGGCACAGTGGCTTCCTACTGTAATCACAGCATTTTGGGAGGCAGAGGCAGGAAGATCAGTTAAAGCCAGCAGTTTGAGACCAGCCTGGGCAACAAAGCGAGACCCGTATCTACAAAAAAATTTTTTTAATTAGCCAGGCATGGCATGTGCCTATAGTCCCAGCTACTCAGGAGACTGAGGTGGGAGATCACTTGAGCCCAGAGGTTGAGGGTGCAGTGAGCATGATCATCACACTGCACTCCAGCCTGGGTGACAGAACAAGACCCTGTCTCAAAAAAAAAAAAAAAATCCTTTCTTTATCAAGGCTAATATAGCATAGATGAAAATATGTGGGAGACTGGAAGCAACCAGATGCCCAATAGTTGAAATGTGTAACTAAACCGTAGTGTAATCGCACAATGAAATACTGTATAACAATGAAAATGAACCAACTACAGTTACATATAATATTGATAAATCTCACATAATGCTACACAAAAAAGCCAGATATGAAATAATACATACTATATGATTCCATTTATATTAAGTTTTTTAAAAACTCAAAACTAAACTGTAGGCTGGGTAAGGTGGCTCACATCTGTAATCCCAGCATTTGGGAGGCTGAGACAGGCAGATCACTTGAGGCCAGAAGTTTGAGACCAGCCTAGCCGACATAGTGAAACCCCATCTGTACTAAAAATATAAAAAATTAGCTGGGTGTGGTGGCACACACCTGTAATCCCAGCTACTCTGGAGGCTGAGGCAGGTGAATCACTTGAACCTGGGAGGTAGAGGTTGCAGTGAGCCAAGTTTGTACCACTGCACTCCAGCCTGGGTGACCGAGTAAGACTCTGTCTCAAAAAAAAAAAAAAAAAAAAAAACGGCTATAGTGTTTATGACTCCAAGTTGAAAGCAAGGAAATTACTATCCCATAAGCCAGGATAGTAGTTACCATTGTGGAAGGAGAAAGGTATAATGATTGGGTAGAGGATATCTGGAGGCTTCTGGTATGCTGGTAGTGTTCTCTTTCTTAACCTGTGTGGTGGTTATACAAATGTATGTTTTGTGATAAACTATTAAAGTTCCATGTGGTATAATTGAAGCCTGGCATCACACTATTCTCACTTTTCTCCCACTCCATCCTCAAGACTGAGTCTTGTACCAACTGAGGTACCAAATGTTTCCTCCTTGGTTTGCTGTGTTGACACTTTGTGGTAACTTATGACTAAGGTCAGTTGTCTTCTGCTTAAAAAAGATTACTTACAAAGGAAATACTTGTTTTGATTTAGTAGTTTTTAAAGTTCTTCTGTTTAGTTTGTCTACTGTTTTTCTTCAAGAGACTATGAACCCAAGAGAAAAGTTAAATTGACAACCAAGTGTCATTCGTTCAACACCTATCTTCTGAGCACCTGCCCTGTGGCAGATCCATGAAGTTATACACATTTAGATTTCTTAGCGTCAAAAAGCTTCCTTACATAACTACAAATTAAATTTTTTTATTTTTTCTTATCTTGACACTGATAAAACTACAAATTAACATTAAATCTCTGCTTTCCATCCTGAAAGAAGATTCACTGATCTGTGGTGTTTTTCTTATTCTAGCCCAGTTTCTTCTGTGAATTCAGATGGATACGGATAAGTTGTGAGATCTTGGGGAAGTCATTCTTCTCAGGGCCTGTTTCCTCTTCTGTTGTCTAGTCTAACGTCTCCTTCCACCCTAGGTTTCTATGGCTATTCTTTTTCTACTTAATAGAAACTTGCAAATCATGCTGGTTACAGCAGTTTATTATAAGCTACGTAATGTAAAATATGTCTAAAGTTGAAGTACTTTAGGCTTATTTCCTTATCTTTGCTGAAATATATCTCAGGATGCTTAATTTTTTAATTTTATCTTTAATTCTAGGCTATACCCCAGCTTTGGCCTGTGCTCCCAATAAGGATGTGGCTGATTGCCTGGCTCTCATTTTGGCCACCATGATGCCTGTCTCATCAAGTAGTCCTTTATCATCCTTGACATTCAATGCCATTAACCGTTATACCAACACCTCAAAAACAGTCAGCTTTGAAGCTTTGCCCATCATGAGGAATGAACCTAGCTCCTATTGCAGTTTCAATAACATTGGCGGGGAACAGGAGTACTTATACACTGACGTGGATGAGCTCAACGACTCCGATTCTGAGACCTACTGAGAGGCTGAGGAGGAGGGAGTTCTCACAGTAAAGCTTCAAACTGTGCTTTTTCAGGAAAAAGGCACTTTGATATTCACGTAGAAATTCAACCTAAGAGGAAAGATCGCACAGTGAGCCAATGTTAAGAGATGTGATGACATTAGGAGGAAGAGTTTTAAAGGCAAGTTTTACAAAAGGAACTTCTAGAATCTTGAAATAGACTTGACTGAGGAAAACACGTTGATGTCAGAGTTCTTTGTGGAATTGTTTAATTTGGTTTTGCAGTGCCAGGAATAATTGGGGACACTGTGCACTCTAACCTGCTTACACAAGCAACACTATTGTAACAGAAGAAATAAAGACACTAGATTTAAATTTTATCAATAAAATTACAACTAAATTTAAAGGCAATAAAAGTTTGGTACAGTAGGCATTATGTGCACAGCAAATTGCAAAAGGACCAAATAACTGAAAGTTTTTTCTAATAAAATGCCATTTTGTGGAAACTGGAGTAGATGAAATGAAACATTACCTAAACCAAACTGCAATATTTCTGGAAATGAAGCTGAGATTTGGTTTTAAATGTTGAGTTGTTTTTTTTTTTTTAAAGAAAATATCTGAAAGCCTTCCAATGCTGTATTAAACCATGAGAGAAAGCAGATGTATTTTTACATTTTTTTCTTTTACATAAATATTTCAAATTTCCAATTTTTATACTATTAGAATTAAAAACCAGCTGACTGGGTGCAATACGGGTGAAAATACTTGTGACATAGACATTGAGATGGATTGGGGTCAGGCTGTTGCCCTGTTTTGAATGGTTTGGGTTTAAAATAGTACTATTTTTGTTTAAAAATGTAAAGAATTTCCTAAAAAAAAAAATTCATGAAATCGAAAAGTAGATTATTTCACCCTATTGCAGCTAAGTGGTTCTGGGGCATGGAGTCTTCAACCTCTCTACTTTGAATGGCACACCTTAGTCGCTTAGGTTACTTTTGTGTCCCCACCTTGGGTTGGGGGATTTTTTATGTTTATTCTGATCTATGAGTTTTGAAAAAGTGAATAATCAAAAGGAAAATACTTCCTTGTTGTTCATAAATTAAACATCACTAAGTCTCTTGGAAGGCATTTCTGTATTGGGCAAGATTTAAAATACTAAAGCCTTAGGTCCTATTCATATTTAAAGTAGCATGTTTGTAACCTGTTACTATTTGGAGAGAGAAGCAGTTGCCTGCCAAATTGAAGACTACTTTCAAATAGCAAAAGAGAGAGAGAAGGCTGGTATTTCAGCTTTAAATAAATATTTGTGTGGTTCTGCTTTTACTGTAACTGTCACTTTCCCAGTGAAAATGATTTCATAAACATTGAGGGTCTTACAGGTATGGGTAAAGTTCTATAAATTGCAACAAAATGATACCCAATTTCATTTTATCCTTTTTGTATTGTGAAACTGGAAACTTTATGACATTGTAAATTATCAGCTGGTTTTTCTGAATATAAAGTGTGAAAACACAGAACAGTATTTTGATCTATTTGATAATTTTGTGGGTTTTTTGAAGAATTAATGAGCATGTACATAGAAATAGTGACTGCTTGAATACTGTATTTACTTGCACTCTTTCAGTACATCAAGATTCCTGTATATTTTAGAGTATAATAAAACACAGATGTGAGTTGTATTTAATGAATAATGTATTTGTATCTGTGCATATTATCTACAAATCTATAAAGTTTCTAGGGCATTGACTACTAGATTTTAAGCATTTTTTCTAAAATATTTACAGAAATTATAAGTCTAATCCCCCATCTTTTCTTTATAATATAAAGAAGTCATAATGAACCCTTCCTAATTATTAGTAGTAGGAAGGTGAATATGCATTTTAATGGCAGTGGACTACATTTTCTATTGTACCTTTTGAAAAAAAAAAGAAAAAAGAAAATTCAAGCAGATTCTAAAAGTATACATATGTGTGCTTTCTCTTTCCTTTTAGGAATTCTCTTCTGAATTCCCTGAGGGAATTTTCTAGAATCTCAGAATTGAAAGAGACCTGAGGTTCATCCACTCTCTAACCTCTTAACAAATGCAGGAGTCCCTTCTACAAGGGTGATCTTTCCACCTTGAACACTTCCAAGTGACTCTACCTCACCAAGCAGTCCATTCAGTTGTTGAGCAGCTCTAACTGTTAGAAAGGTCTTCCTTAGATGGAGTTGAAGCCTCCCTCCCGGTAACTTCTGTCTTTGGGCCCGGGTCTGTCCTCCAAGAGAACCCTGAAAATGTTGGAAGGATGAATCTCGCACATTCTGCCATGTCTTCTCTTTTACAGGCCGTTTGACTTCTCTGCTGAAGTGATTTCCAGAAGGACTCATTTGACACACTATTAGATTTACCACATCTAATGAAATCCAAGGTGTGGCTATAAAGTGACAAGCTGTTTTTAATTTATCACATATACCAGAACTTCTATCGTGCATCACTTATATGTAAATGATGCTGTTACCAAAATCATTAAGGTAGTTCTTGTGAATGCCACCCCACTAAGAAAACTATTTCATTACTTTTGTAATCCATCTGTGAGAGTCTGCCCCCCAGCTTAACCACTTCCTTTGGTCTGCACCCAATGAAAGGAAACCCCAAAGTACTGTCTCAAATGGTATTTGAACTACACCAGTATTGTTGGAATAAGTACATGAACTACTTGAATGAATGAACACAGTGCCGTAGAAATTTCCTTTATGGTTACACCTTGTATATCTAAAGCATTCAGGCCCTGTTCTGTAGTGTTTCTTATCCTCACACAGAGTAGAAAAGCCTGTTTGCTTTCTTTAACTTATGCATAAAAGATGACACCTGAAATATCTGATGTGTATTATAATACCAGCTTCTGCTCTAGAACTACTTTGGGTGAAATGGTGGTAATAGCAAATGACCTCCTTTAACAAGACACTCATCTCAAACAGTGCCATTTAGTTCAGGAGATCTTGAAGTGTAGCTGTAAATTTTGGGGTTAATTTGGCTTATATTGGACCTTTTAAAAGAAATAAAGTTTTTTAATGCAATAAATCAAGTGTCTGTCTCTTTTACATGCAAACTTCTTTTCCCTTAAACTGTCTAGCATTGAATTGACAAGTTTTTTTTTTCCTTTTTTAATTAAAAAAAAAATGACTTTTTAGCAAAGCTGATTTAGACTTTACATGAACCTACCTATATGGGATTTTCAAATATATTTATTCAACAAATATTGCTTGCCTGCTGTATACTTGGCAGTAGGAATGGGCAGAAAACCAAGAAATTGTGATCTTGTCTTTTAGGAGCTTACAATTAATTTCATTGTGGAAAGGTATAAGTAGAAAGTAATAAAAGTGTAATTGAGGTAGAGATGAATTGATAAGAGGTACAGATTAAGATCACATTGGGAGGGAAGATCAGAACAGGCATCATGGAAGACTAGGTCCGGACATTGAGAATCAGATTTGAACAGATGGAGAAGGGGGCAAATGATACCCTGTGTGAAAAGAACAAAATCAGCAGTTCTTTAAATAGTTGGTGGAGTTGGCAGAGGGGCGCTTTGGGATAGAGTAGATATTGGCACTTAGCAATCCTGAGCGTAGAAAGATGATGAAAATATACAAAAGAGCTAATTGGAAACATGTACAAGATTAGATAATAGAAGTGAGAACAAATGGATATAAATAGGTGATGAGAGGAACAGGTGAAGAGGGCTTTAATAACCTTTCTTAAAATGGTCTTTATGCAGGTAATAATAGAAAATGCCTATGCAGCATTTATCATGTACCGGGCAAGGTTGTAAGTACTTGAAATAAATTATCTCTTAATCCACACAACTGTTCCATGTGGTAGGTACTATTTATAGCACCATTTAACAGATGAGGAAAGAGAGGGAGATGAAGTAGTGTTGGCCCAAGGTCACCTGGCTGGTAATTTGTGAAGCCTAGATTCAAATCCAGGCAGTCATGTCTATGGTCAGTGCTCTTAACCCACTAATGACTGCTGACATGCAATCTGGTCTTTGTTGAAATTGTTGATTTTGAAGTTGAGACACACACTGAACACTTAATTATGTAAGTTCTCAGTTTTATTCTCCTGGATTGCTATTTTTAGAAGCAGCACGTAAATCTGACTGCAACAGGTGTTTATTGAACACCTGCTATGTGCCAGGAACTGTGCTAGGCTCTTGGCATACAGCAGTAAAGGGGGAGGTAACATAGTTTGACCTCAGGAGTGGATCCTAAAAGAATGATGTCTACTTAATGTTTCAGATGCTGTTGCCACCTAACCACCCCAAATCTCAGTTGCTTAAAGTAATCATTCTTATTCATGCCTCTGCAGATTGGCTGACATCAGCTTGTGTGGGTGACTGCTTCAAGCTGGGTCTCTGGCTGGGCTTTACTACCTGCTGTGAGTTGTGTTTCCACCTGCTCCATCTATGTTCATCCTTGGGCCTGGGCTAAAATACAAAAGTTATACAGAAGTTTCCACATTGATGGTAGAAGCATAAGAAGGCAAGCCCAACCACACAAGTATGGTTTGTGCCTTCTGCGTGCATCACATCTGCCAACACTCCACTGGCCATAACAATCATGTGGCCAACCCCTACCTCAGTGGGATGGGGCAGTGTTCTCTGCCATTTTGGGGAGGATAGTTTGGGTTCCATTTCCACAGTCAGGCCAAAATGATGTCAACCGATTTGTTGCTGTTTTCAGCTTTTCCATGGCGCTGCTTGGTAGCCTTTCCTTTATTCCTGTTCCTTCCCTTTTTGTGGTACCGTTAGAGTGTGAGTAGTCCAGATATAAAACTGGGCAGCAGACATGTACTTTGAGTTGGAAAGTTCTTGCTTGGCAGTGCTGCTGATTGGTTGGTTGTTGGATCTGCTCTTTTCCAAAGGTAGAAAACCGACCTCTTCCCTACCTCAGCCTCCAGAAGAATGTAGCACCAGCCCCCCTCTCTGGTGTGTTGCTGTATTCATCCCTTTCAAAGCACAACCTAATCTGAAACAAGATAGGAAAGCTTGGCTAGTGACTACTCTGAAGATGAAAAATGCTGATATCTAGTGCTCTCCATTCTAGATCAGTTCTCCATCTCTCTGTCTCCAGCACTTAAAAAATGTCTCCATCTCTCTGCTTCATTCCTCTTTTTGTGTTACTTCTCATTTCCTTGTGGTTGTCTCATTCCCCTTTCCCCTATGACTCTTACCTGTCTACTATCTTAATTAGAATTGAAATACAGGTTGAAATATTTCCGTAATTTGAAACTAATTTTTTAAAACATTTTAGGTTCAAGGAAACATGTGCAGGTTTGTTATATAAGTAAACTGCATGCCACAGGGGGTTAGTGTACAGATTGTTTCATCACCCAGGTAATAAGTAGTTTTTTGAACATCTTACTCTTGCCACCTTTCACCCTCAAGTAGGCCCTAGTGTCTGTTCCCCTCTTTGTGTCCATGTGTTTTCATTGAAAAAAAAATAGTAATTTAATCTTATATTTCTTTCTCTTTACCCTTCTTTAAGGAAAATTAAATTTTCATCTTTTTTTTTTTAATCCCTTCATGGAAGCCAACATAAATTTTCATCTTTAAAGCCCAAATGGTCGAAAAGCTTTTGCTAAATGATGTCAGTGAAAATGGCAAGAGTAATGAGCTCCAAAAATTAGCTTCTTCATAAGAGCCGTGATAAAACTGGCAAAATTTCTCAGAATCGACTGTTATAGAAGTCTGAAAATTAAAGGCTGTCAGCAGCCTCAAGAGCATTTAATTCAAGAAAAACTACTAAATCTACCTAAGGACAACAGCCTTGGTCATGTTTTAACTTGGATTCGTCACCTTTTTCACTGTCCAGCTGTAGAAGCCCTGAAAACTAACAGCCCACATTCCTGTTGCAGCCTGGAAGCCACCAGAAGGAACAAAACAAAGCTAGAGCTCTTTCAAAACCTCATTCCCAATTATTTGACCAATGCACTTAACAACAGAGTATCAAAGTATGTGAGGCAAAAACCGGTAGAACTGCAGTGAGAAATAGATGAATCCACTATCATAGTTGGAGACTTCAACACCCCCTCTATCACTAATGGACAGAACTAGCAGGCAGAAAATCAACAAGGGCATCATTGTGCTTAACACCATCAACCAGCTGGATCTAGTGAACATTGAGACCAGCCTGGCCAGCATGGCAAAACCCCCTCTCTACTAAAAATACAAAACTTAGCCAGGCGTGGTGGTGGGCGCCTGTAATCCCAGCTACTTGGGAGGCTGAAGCAGGAGAATCACTTGAACCTGGGAGGCGGAGGTTTCAGTGAACTGAGATCGCACCACTGCACTCCAGCCTGGGCAACAAGAGTGATACTCTGTCTCAAAAAAAAAAGTTCTAAAATCAATCATGTATGTGTTCACTTTAGGAAACTAGAGAAAGAAAAGCAAATCCAAAGCAAGCAGAAGACAAGAATTAAGAGTAGAAATCAATGATATTGAAGAAGTATTTCAGTAGAGAAACTCAACAAAACCAAAAGTTTTTTTTGTTTTGTTTTTAAGATTAATAACATCAGTAAAGCTCTAGCCAAGCTAAGGGGGAAAAATAAAAGGACACAACTAATATCAGAAATGAGAAGAGACTTCAATACAGAGCCCATAGACGTTTAAAGGATAATAAAGGAATATCATGAACAACTTCATGCCAACAAATTTGATAACCTAGATGGACCTTAAAAGACAATTTGCCAAAACGTACACAAGAAGAAATAGAACTATATCTGAATGGACCTATATCCATTAGAGAAACTGAATCAATAATAACCTTCCAAAACAGAAAGCACCAGACCCAGATGGATTCACTGGTGAATTCTACTGAACATGCAGGGCGAAATTATACCAATTCTCTACAGTGTTTTCCAGAGATAGAAGCAGAAAGAATACATCCTAACTCAGTCAAGGAGGCCAGCATTACTTCAATTTCAAAACCAAAGATTATAAGAAGACTGTAGGCCAGGCGCAGTGGCTCACGCCTGTAATTGCAGCACTTTGGGAAGCCAAGGCAGGCGGATCACCTGAGGTCAGGAGTTCGAGACCGGCCTGACCAACATGGAGAAACCCTGTTTTTACTACTAATAAAAATTAGCTGGGCATGGCGGTGCATGCCTGTAATCCAGCTACTTGGGAGGCTGAGGCATGAGAATCACTTGAACCTGGGAGGTGGAGGTTTCAGTGAGCCAAGATCACGCCATCGCACTCCAGCGTGGACAACAAGAGTGAAACTCCGTCTCAAAAACAAACAAACAAAAAAACTGTAAGCCAATATTTCTCATGAACATAGATGCAGTAATTCTCAGCAAATCAAAATACTATCAAGATACAACACAATCATGAAAATAATTCTTAGTAAACTAGGAAAACACGGGAACTTCCTCAACTGGATAAAGAGCATCTATTTAAAAAAAAAAAAGCTCCAACCTGGGCCATATGATGAAACCCTGTCTCTACAAAAAATACAAAAATTAGCCAGGCATGGTGGCACACAACTGTAGTTCCAGCTGCTCAGGTGGGTGAGGTGGAAGGATTGCTTGAGCACAGGCGGTCAAGCTACAATGAGCCATGATCATGCTACTGCACTCTAAGATCAGGAGCAAAACATGGATAGCTCCCTTCACCACTGCTTTTCAACATCATACTGGAAGTTTTAGCTAATGCAGTAAGACAAGAAAAGGAAATAAAAAGTATGCAGGTTAGAAGGGAGGAAGTTAAACGTTTTCACAAATGACACGACCATTTATGTAGAAAATCAGAATGAATTTTAAAAGCTGGAACTAATAAGTAACTATACCAGTATTGCAAGATACAAGGTTCATATACAAAAATCAATTACTTTCTCATATGCCAGCAGTGAACAGAGAATTTGACATTTAAAACACAATACTGTTTATATTTGTACCCAACATACAAAGTACATAGGTATAAAACTTGTTAAAATGTATAAGGTCTATAGGAAGAAAACTCCAAAACTCTATTGGAAGAAATCAAAGAAAAAATAAATGCAGAGATAGACCATTAATGAATA